ACACATATCCACAAGTCGACCTCCTAGCTCTCAAAGTCGACCCCACACACCTCGAATAATAAAGATGTGATGACGACTCATCACACTTGCAGCATACTTGAAGTTCCACATATTACAAAGGATAAGAAGGAATCTTGTGATGACTCAGCAGCAAGGGAAGGCGAATCGACCAGGGCATTTTGGACCTTCTAGGTCCGCCGACCTGGGTATTTTAGGTACTTCAAGTAAGTATTCACTTCTATATAAAGGAGGTGAGGTAACCTCAAACCCTAACTCTCATTCATTCCCATTCTTCCCCATAGCTGCTGCGCAACATCTCTTGATCGCTCTCATACTGACTTGAGCGTCGGAGGCTCTACGCCGGAAACACCTCCGGCGTTGAGTTTTTGCAGGTATCTCGCGGTCTAGCAACAATTCGGAGGCGGTTCAAGCAGATCTGAGCTCACATCCACCGGTTTACTCCGGATCTGGAAGTAGACCCATCAGAAGGCCCTGATGATGATGATATATTCCAACAGAGAGAACATGATCATGCTAAGAAGGTACACAAGAGGGCAAGAGAATGGCTGAAACAAAGAAAGAAGCAGAAAAAAAAGGCAAGACAAGAAGCTGGTGCTGCAAGAAGGTCTACAGCAGAAGATTGGTACAGTGATCCTGAGGATGATGACAAGTGCTTTGAAGAGCCTGATGAATGGATTAATGGTACTGACATGTCAAGGTTTGAGCTGAAGGTTGGTCAAAAATATCAATGCAGAGCAACATTCAAGGAGGTGATTAAAGATTGGTCTGTTAGAAAGGGATATGATTTGAATTTCCCAAAAAATGAAGCCAAGCTTATCACAGCAAAATGTAAGAGTGGGTGTGGCTGATTCTTGAGGGCCTCAGTTATTGGAGGTTTGTCCACATTTCAAATCAAGACATTGAAAGGCACACACTCATGTGCTTATAGGACAGAGAACACACAGGCAGACTACAAGTATCTTGGAAAAAGAATGCTAGATACTTTGAGGGACAATCCTGCTGAGAGTCTGGCAAGTCTGAAAAACAGAATCAAGAGGCACTGTGGGGTTGAGGTCAATTTGCACAAGGCATACAGGGCCAAGATGTATGCTCTTTCTTTGTTGAAGGTTGACTATGGGGAACAATATAAGAGGCTATATGACTACTGCTCCACAGTGGCCAAGTACAATCCTGGTAGCTCTTTTATCCTCAAGTTGAACAATGATTTTTCACCTCCAAAGTTCATGAGGATGTATGTTTGCCTAAGTGCAATGAGGCGGGCATTTTTAACTGGCTGTAGGCCAATTATAGGGCTTGATGGATGCTTTCTGAAGACTCTTCATGATGGTCAACTTCTTTCAGCAGTTGGTAGAGATGGAAATGACAATATGCTACCAATTGCAATGGCATATGTGGAAGTTGAGAAGACTGATTCTTGGAGGTGGTTCCTTGAAAGGCTAATGAGGGATATAGACCCTTACAAGGAGAAAAAATAGACTTTTGTTTCAGATAGACAAAAGGGTTTGCTTGAAGCTGTGAGTGAAATTGAGGGGGCAGAGCACAGATATTGCTTGAAGCACATGTACAACAATTTTAAGCAGAAGTGGGGGAATCTAGAATTGAGGAAATGGTTTTGGAAGGCAGCCAGCACATACAATGTCAAGGAGCATCTCAGGTGCATGAGTCAAATCCAAAAGCTTATTCCTAAGAAGGATGGCAAGGTATTTTTCTCCTTACAAAAACCTGTTGTAATTTTCTCATTACATACCTGCTGTGTAATGTGAATACCTTTGGGTCTGAATATAAGAGTGTGTTCATTTCATGGTTTTGTTCTGAATAACCTGCTGTATATTTGGTGTAGGTATTTTATTTTAAAAAGGAAAGTAGGTATTTTTTACTTTGTGTTAATGCTTTGAACAATGTTTTGTGTTCATGCTTTGAACAATACTTTGTTGTAGGTATTTTGTACTTTGAGATTTTAAATAACATCTCATTGTCTCAATTTATATTAATATAATGAGATTTTGTACTTTGCTTTAGGAAACTCTATGTGAATGGTTGAAGGCTGTCCCTGAAGAACACTGGGCAAGGTGTTTCTTTTCTCCTAATGCAGTGTGTGATGTGATAGTTAATAATCTTTCAGAGTCCTTCAACAACTACATTTTGGAAGCCAGGGATATGGCTATTGTGGACATGTTTGAGTGGATCAGAAGAAGATTGATGGCAAGGATCCAGGTGAAGAAAACTGGAATAGAAAAATACAGAAAGGGGCAAAAAATACAGAAAGAATCCAGATTAATGACATGAGACATATGGCAACAAACAGTAGCAGAAAGGGGCTTATCAAGAAATGCACTTTATGTGGTGGAAACAATCACAATAAGAGAAGGTGCCCCAAAAGCGGAGGTGAAGGTGAACAGGTCAGTCAATTTTTAAAATTTTTCAACTTCCAATATTGTTATTTCAACAATCATATTTGTGTTTTTTAAACACTGTGACATGATTTTGTTTTGTTTTTGTTTGCTTTTTTTTTTGGGCAGGCATCTCGGCCACAACCACAACCACAACCATCTAAGCCACAACCACAACCATCTCAGCCACAACCACAAACATCTCAGTCATAGCCACAACCATCTCAGCCACAACCACAACCATCTCAGCCACATCCACAACCATCTCAGCCGTCTCAGTCGTCTCAGCCATTTGAGACTTCCATGCCATCTTTTGAAGATTTTATTCAGTGCTCTGGCCCTCAAACCTTCACTCAACAAAACAGGGAATATGGTGGTGATTGGTGATTTCATGGTGTGTATTTGATTAGTGTTTGTGTTTGTGATGATGTTTGTATGTTGGTGATTTTATTCCAGTGGTGTTTGTATGTTGGTTAGACTTTGTGTTTGTGATGATGACAGTTATGACAATATTTTGGTGTTTATGGATATTGAAGTATAATTTATGGTGATGACCCTATTGCTTTGAATGCTATTGACAGTATTTGTGGCTATTGATAGTAATGTTTTGAATGATAATTTTTTTTGCTATCTGTGGCTACTGATTGTAGTGATAACAGTGTTTTGAATGTTACATTGTTGGAGATAGATGTGGTGAGAGTGGAGTTGCTAGAATATTGAATTACTGCATTTTATTGATGATAATAAAGGCATACATTGTCCAAATGATTACATTAATTATCATCTAAAATTACTTGAGAACAATAACAGCCAAAAGGATTACAATAACAAAAAAAAAAACAATCCATTGCTAAATTTTTTCTCAATTTTCTCCATCTTTGACTGCACCTCCTTCAGCATTATTGCGACCTCTACATTTTCATTTGTTAGCTTTGCTCCGGTTGACTGTACTTCATCATCATCGTCTTCATAACAAACTTCATCTTCATGGATTTCATTTGACTTCACCCAATTCACTGAGACAGGTTTAAGCCAAGTAAATAAACGACATTTGTTGTACGGACAATTGCAAAATAGTTTGCCAACAGTTTCTTTTGTTGGACCAACGACCCGAATGCGAGCAAATGTGTTGCAACCACACTTAGGGTGCTTATACCTTAGATCCAAACTCTCATTCTTTGACATCTTTGATTTTTGGGAAGTAGACATATTCAACCTGCCAAAAAAAATAAAAAATAAAAAATAACAAAAAAAACGGAAATAAATATTTATAAAAAAATATTTCAAAACCTGTTGTATAATTTATTTAAAAAAATATTTATAACAAAAATTAAAAAACAAATGTGTTGTATTTTTTGGTCTGAAGAAGGTGTGAAGTAAAAAACCAAACTAATGAGTTGTATTTTTTCGACCTAAAGAAAAAATAAAATAAAAAAATGAAGAAGGCGTGAAGTAAAAAAAAAAAAAACAAAATTTTTCCTATGCGTCGCCCATCAGTGAGGAAGGAGGAAAAAGTAAAAAAAAAATGGAGGGTGAAATGAATGTGTTGTGCAATTCGGCCGAAAGAAAAAACAAAATAAAAAAAAATGAAGAATGCGTACCTTCCTTCCTGTGAGCTGCGCGATTAGGGTGTGAGGTGGGGAAGAAGGTGAGCCTTTTAATGGTTGATTTTAAGGGTAAAAAAGTAACTTCCGCGACTTTAGAGTGAAAAACCGAAGGTAAAGCCGCACAGCACGCGCGTGCTATGCACTTCCGTCATCTTAGACGGTTTATGGTGTTTCGCGCATGCAAAACTTTAATAGAAGGGGGACTGATGCAATTTTTGAATTAGAAGAGGGAAACGCGCAGATTAACGATAATACAGGGGGGTTTAGAGCATTAAACCCCATTATTCATTATCCAATGTGCTTTTCGTTAAAGATAATAATGTACACATTGAATATATCATATAGATAGAAAACTATTATTTTTTGTGATTCTAAATAATAGTTTTATTTGTCAAGATAAATAACAAATTATTTGTCGAGACAAATAATTATTTTGTGAAAATTATTCGTTAATATTTGTCAAGACAAATAATTTTCGTTAAAATTATTCGTTCTAAATTTTAACGAAAATTATTTGTCTTGACAAATAAATATTTTGACAAAAACTATTATTTTAAATTGTAGAAGGTAAAAACAATGTACAATAACCAAACCTTTGAATTTATTATTAACAAATTTTCACTTAAAAGTAATTGTCTTCAAAAGTTAAATATGAAAATTTCATGTATGAAAAATTTATAATTTTTCAAGTTAATTTATAATTTTAACTAATTCATAATGTTTGTACACCAAAATATTTTCATCTATTCTTTTTTATCATGACTTAGATTTGAACTATAATACATTTGACACAATTCTTTATATATTGTCCTTCATTTTTTTAATTGATGAAAAATAATAATGTAAAAATTCAAAAAAAAAAAAAATCATATGAATTTAAAAAATAATTTAAAATCACAAATAAATATGAATCATGCATCATATGTGCACTATACTAATTTTTTTACACGTCAAACATGACTGTTTCACTAAGAACTAAGTTGATTAATTAAGGTCTTCAGTTTATTGTTTTTACTGTTGTAGGTTTGTTAGTAACTAAATTACAAAAGATGACTAGTAGAGGAATAATTAAAAAGAATAAGTCAGACTTCATGTATGAGCATAGAAGTTTTACTGTAGATCACTTTGGAAGAAAATGAGTAGAGTAGAGTGCAACAGAGAGTTCTGAAACCACAATTTACAAGAATTTGAAAGGTTAATTAATTATAATACAAATGTGAATGTTCTTGGCCTAACCAAGCTTTCTTTACATCCTCGAATATCCCCTTTGGTCTTCGTATTGCTCCATGAACTCGTCATTGAATTTCTTAAAACTTTCCATAATTGCAGGCATGTCTTCCTCAGCTGGTAAGATTGTGGTTCTCAGGTGGAAAACCCTTCAAATATAAAATAAGAGAAAAATGAAACTTTTTTATCAGCATCATTTCTCATGGCTGTCTAAAACCCAGACAGTTCTAATTACACTGAAAAAAAAAAAAATCACCAAATTATACCTGAGTTTTAGACTAAGTAACCCTTGGGGTTAGGTAGGATTCGTAATATAGTGAAAAACATATGATGCGTTTTATATTTCTTCATTAAGTTCATCTAAACGAGAACNAAAAGTTATGTACCCTTCTTTCTGACCAAACCCAGAACCCGGGACAGTTGAAATGCCAGTAGCTTCTAGAAGCTTAAGACAGTAGAAAACATCAGGCACTTTTCCAGCCTTTTTTGCAGCCTCTAAAGCTCTCGGGGGCAAGCGAATTTGCGGGAACGAATACATGGCGCCTGAAAAAGACCATTTTGATGTTGGAAATTAAAGGTTTAAGACAAAAAAACTGGAGTTATATATTGTTTTTTATTTTAGTCAATTGCAATTTTAATCCTGTATGTTTCAGTACCTCGAACTTTTTCGTCCTCTTCGAATTGTTTTTTTTCATTTCCGTCACCTTATGCTTGCAAAAAAGTTACAAAAAAGTCCTTTTTCGCAACAAAAAGTCCCTTATGTTTTTAAAAAAATGTTGCAATTTCGTCCCTTATGTATGCTCGATGACCTTTTTGCAACCCTTTTGCAAACATCAGGGACGAAATTAAAAATCAAAAACAATTCGAAGATGACGAAAAAAATTTAGGATAGTGAAACATACATGACTAAAATTTTGCAATTCTCTTCTTTTTTCATAGAAATCAATCAATTCCTCTTATTTCCAACGTCTTTTATTTAGTAAATTGTGAGAAGATATATACCTTCAGTGAAGTTGCAAACCACATTTCTGCAGCTGTTGAATCCATCTGTCATTAATTGTGCCCTCCTTCTCAAAGACTCGAGGATGCCTTTGCTGCAGTTGAATCATGAGTAAAACTTTGTAATCATGATTTAAATTTCAGTTGTGTTTGTTCCGAGACTTGCTAGTAGGCATGTGCATCACTTTAAACTGAAGCCTCGTATTCTAAACTTGATTACGTAGGTTAGATTTCTAATCGGAGCCTGTCAGCCTTTGCAATCAGACATGGAATAATCTATTTTTTCATTATTTCATAATTTTAAGTATAAATTTTTAACAAACACCCATGTAATACATGGGTAATATGCTAGTAATAACTATTACATATGAAGAGACACACATTGCTGCGTAATATTTCAACTGTATCCTAAAATAAATCAGTCATACACATTATCATTGAAGCAAACAAAGTCTAAGAGATATGCATGTAGAATAAAAACTTGCTTATAAAATATTTTGACACTTAGAACGTAATAATCATTACAAGCCCATAATACTTTTTCTTTACCAATGAAGATATTTGAGAATGCATGTACAAAGTAGAAAGTCGTACCTCTCTCTAACATATCTTTCGTAAGATATATCACCAGGTTTAGGAGGGTTGACCATAATTCCCATCTGAAAATTGCAAAAAGTGTAGTTCTTGGTTATTAATCGGTTAGGAAAAATTAATAGGTTAAAGTTAGTGACTTACAAGTATTTGTGCAGGCACATTTGGACTGAGTGATATGGAAGCAACTTTGTATATTTCCTCCACTGTCTGAAATCATAGGTCATAAATCTAATTAAAACTAAAGCATATTGAGTTAGATCAAATTTTAATCCATTCATTGTTTTGCATATAGTTTATACACAAAAAAATGTAGATATATAAATGCAGTATACTTATATTGCTACTATTTATCCAAAAAAACCTTGGGAGAAATATTGGTCATCTCAAAGTAGCCACCACGCTGGCCACATTCCCCCCAATACCCTTTCGAGATTGTGTGAAAAGAAACTAGCTCAAGCTCATTGCTTATGGGTGGGCCCATCTCCATAAGAACCTTTTACAAAAGCAATTATATGCAAATGAGTGAGTTGAAAAGGAATCCATGAGAATTATGCTACAATTACATACATCCAATTGCATACCTTCCTTGAGCTTACAAAGGGGCGCTCATCTTGGTAAATGTTCTGCTGATAGACTTCATCTCCAAGCAACACTAAATTGTTTTGGTAACAGAAATTTATAACCTCTCTAAGATTTGTTTCGCTAAGACACTGCCCAGTAGGATTTCCCGGATTTATAATCACCATGCCTCGAACCTTATAGAAAATCCATGGATATATCAAGAGATAAGCTAGCTGATAATATTAAACAACCTTTCAGATGATCAATGGTCTTGGGACGAAAGGAGTACTATTGTTTCATACACACATATATCCATATGTACATTGTTACAATGCATTTATATATATAATTATAGTCAAAATTGCATATTAGTACACCACCTTTCATGTTTTTGCAATTTAGTCACCACCTTTACAATTTTGCAAAATAAATACACCACATTTACCATTTTTGCAAATCGATACATGGATGACGGTTCCGTTAAAAAAAATCTAACGAAAATCTGACATGGCATTTAGTGCCATGTCAAATTTTCGTTAACGGAACCGCATTTATGTATCGATTTGTAAAAATGGTAAATGTGGTGTATTAATTTGCAAAATTGTAAAGGTGATGATTAAATTGCAAAAACATGGAAGGTGGTGTATTAATATGCAATTTTGCCTATTAATTATATATGAAATAGCATAACAAACTGTTTCTTACAGTTATCCCTTGGGAACGAGCCTGAGCAAGTGATTGACGAAGATTAATGACATCAAGACCCCAATTTGCAGTCTCCTCGAGATAATACGGAACAAGTGAACCACCCATTAAAGCTATTGTGGCAGAGTAAAGTGGATATTGTGGAACAGGAACCAATATCTACAAATAAACCAATCGTTATGAAACGGAAAGAAGAACTTCTAGTTGCAAAATATGCAAACTTGGGGGAGCAAAGTGAAAACATTGGAAAGTAAACGGGCATGATTGAATTATCAAAGTAAGATTACCCCATCGGCTGGACCACGAATGATGGCTTGTAGGATTTGCATGACTCCTTTGCTAGCACCATCTGTTAGGAATATGAGTTCCGGGTCACTGTAAATGAATAAAATTTTCAGTAAAATATGTTTTTAGAATTTAAAAAAAAAAAAAAAAAAAATTCAACACAGGATTNAAAAAAATCTCAACACAGGATTTATTTTAACTTATTATATAGTTACAACCTGGGATATTTATCCCGTCTCTCGATAAATTCAGCCACTTCTTTTCTTATTCCAGGAAGGCCACGTGAATCACTGTAAGCACCTGAGGTAATATACAGGATTCTTATGAACTATCTTCTAACGCTATAAGAGCAACTTGTTCAATATTAATTCAGCACTTTTGATGCACTTATATAACAGGAAATCAATAGGACTAGACTGGGCAAATTTTAATAGCAGTACATGAAACTGACCCAAAGATGGATAATCGATGGACACAAATATAGTGGCCTTTATTGTTATTTGGAGTTCATAGATGCATTGTTTCAAAATACTCAAGAAAGTGATGAAACAAAGTCAATGCGTAGACTATTAACTTTCACCATCTCCAAACAATATTTGTAATTGTGGAATAAAAGATAGAAGAAACAAGATATAGCCATCTCTAAGTAACATTTAAAGGGAATTCTATTCAATAGTTGGAATACCTAAACCCCCTGAAGTAAGTGAAAGATAATGTTTAGCTTTAGCAATGGCATCAGCTGGAAACATGAGTCCTACATTTGGATCATCAAGCAGGAATGGAGCTTGGCAGAGAGCAATCACCTGTAACATCACTTTTTTTCTCATAACTTAATATACAAACAAAACGAAAACGAAAAT